CTCGGACGGAATGTCTGTTTTTAACTTACCCAGCATTAAATCTAAATTTAGCACCTAATTCATTATTAATTGGTCACCCGTTTTTAAATTGTAGCCTGCGATACAAGCCATAGAATATCTCAGCAGTATATTGATTATACAGTGAGGTTTTTTTTTTTTTTTTGTCTTTCGGTGTGATTTAAACATGCTAATTCTCAGAAAATATTTTCCAATTTTATTATATTACCACCTTTTATTACATAGATCTTTTTCAAAACATAACTGCTTTTATAACATTATATAGACCCATTAAACACAAAAACTGCTCTGGCTTCGGGGGCTTCTCCCCCACCCCACCGGGGCACTTAGGCAGTCCCCTGGACCCCACGCCCAGAGAACCCCCACCCCCCTTGAAATGACCTGGCTACGGGCCTGGCTATAAAGCGGTCTTCAATGGTAGTCTTAACTCCTCGAATAAAGCCGGCTTTATCATTAAAGTCACTAGTATTACTCTAGACTAGCATTGTTTTAATTACCATATGAAAGTTTCCTGATTTACTATACTATACTTCTTTATAAAACGTAACTTGTACTTTATAATAAGAGAAATCTGTATATTATCGGTACCTGGAACAGTAACATTACGAAAGTACTATGCTTCTGCACTGTAATGCATAGGTCTATTTTAATACACTACGTAGATAGGCTATTCTTTTTCTATCTTTATTTTAGAGGTCAAAAACATTTTTCAATTTTTTCAATCATATAGTGGTGTAGAATAGTCTTTTGAGAACATTTTCCAGAAAAAAAAAAAATGTGATACGACCCTCCGTTATGGAGTTATGATTTTTTAGATATTGGACAAGAATTCAGCCCCAAAGCTTATCTTATTTCCGTTGGTTACGCACCACTGACTTGGGTCGTTTGTCAATCAATCAATCAATCAATTTAATGGATATCACTTTCGTAACAGTGGCACACGTTGGACAATACCCAACGGTGCATCCAAATATAAGAGAAAAATAATAAACTTAAACTAGGAGTAAATTAAGCTAAAATGTATATACAAAGTAAAATTTATCAACATGGCATGTAGGTCTATGTGGTATGGTACCGGTAGTCTTTACAGGACCGTATTATTTATAGAGTTGCTGTATGAATTGCAAGTTAATATGGAGCTAGAACTAACAGACAACTAACTAACATTACAAGATATTTATAACAAAATATAGAGCTTAGAACTAACTGATCATAAAGGTTCATATTAACAGAATAAAGAGAAATACAAAAACTAATTAAAGTGTAACGGGTGGTAATGTGGCCATGGATTTATATATTTCAGATCTTAATTTCCATGCGCCTTCGAGAAATACCTTACAATAATTATCAAATATTTCTGCTAATTTATGGTTACCAATTTGGTCATTAAGATTATCGAGAAATAAATGATGCTTATAATCTAACGATCCGTTAATAAATGATTTCCAAAATTAATCTAATCCCCATTTAACAAGGTCATTTTTTAAATCATTATAAACCTTTTCTCTAAATGGCTGGATTTTATCCCAAATAAATAAAAAATGGTCGGTTGTTTCTTTTAAATTTCGGGAGCATAATTTACAAAAACCATTGTTTTGTGTTGACCATGTCTGCTTTTTACCCTCTAGGTTTAGAGAATTAATTCGTGTTTTGAATTTTAATGTAATTCCTTTGAAATTTAATTTGTCTAGTAGATAGGGTTCAAGTATAGGTCTGTCTTTGTATCTAATATACTCTGTTAGTGAACTTTTTAATTTACAATTTTCAAACCATGTTTTAGCATCAGTCTCTTTATTAATCTTTTTAAATTCTTTCATCCAGCCATTTTGAGGTTCGGTATTGTACATTCTTGCGTGACCATATTTAGTTAATATACCTTTTATTGTATCTAGCCATTTCCATTTTAATGACTGTTCAACATGATTAATTGCTTTGAATAAAATTCGTGGCCATTTTTTTTCATCCATGTTTTAAGTCTTTTAAAAAATTGTATTATTAAATTGTTTTGAACTGACTCGATTGATTGCCAGCCTAGATCTCCATACAAGGCGTCTTTAGCTACATTTCGTGGTGCACATAAAATAGTTCGAGCCATCTGGTATTGGAGATTTTCTAGTTTGGTAGTGGCCGATTTTCCGGCACAGAACCATACAGAGCATTCATAATTTACTGTTGGTAGACCTATTGTTCTCCATAGTATATCTCCATAGTACACTCTATTGAAGTCGTCCTGATTGTTTTTTAATAGACTTAATGTACGCAATAATTCGGTTACCTTTTCTGATTACTTCATCGATGTGATGTGAATCGGACAGCGATCTTGAAATAATTACACCTAAGTATTTGTAGTCATCTACTTCAGTTATATAGTTATCGCCCAATTTCCATTTTCTATAATTA